GCAACATAAAAACATGATTTCCAAATGAAGGAAGAGGGATTTAAAGGTGGAGATTAGAGAAAGGGAATTTTAAAAAATCCAGGTAATTGAAAGTCTTACAGCTGGCTTTGTGAATTGTTCTCACTTTCGGATAGGCTCAATGAAATAACATTTCATTTTCTGTATAAATCTTTTTTGTATAACATGTTTAAAGTGGAACTAGACCCACCAATTTAATGGTCTCCCGAAACAGTTACTTTGAAGGCATGCCAACTGTGCTTATTTTAGCTCTCAACCAAACTTTCAGTCCTTTAAATTGGTCTCATAGCAGATCAGTTGTGCAGTTCCCATGGCAACTGCAATTCAAATAGAGGCTATGATTGCACCTTCCTTGGCAGTAAAGGATATAGGGTCATAGTTCTGTTTTAAATCATAAATTTACTGCAGTTAGCTGACTTTTTTCCAATCAATCGAAATTTGTCGAGAGGGGTGGTGTTGACAAAGCCACTCACAGCTTGAAGTTCCTCTTAATCACAGGAACTAAAATACAAGCCATGCATGGCATGCGTGTACGTTCACCACACAATATGGATCTAGATAGGAAGTATAGAGCTCAGACACAGACAGGTTCACTGCTTATGGCCTGCCCTGGGCCAGGCAGTCTATGTCACTGCAGTACTCTGTAGTTCCTGTGAAATGTCACGCATGTGCTAGGCCCATATAGAATAAGCGTGTTATGATATATTCTTTTTATTGTAATAAATATAAAGCTTTGTAGAATACCCCACAGGGAGCTTTCAGCAGCTCAGTGTAATTAACCTGGATATACACTGAGCGAATTTGCTTAGATGGGTGGCCCTAACTGCAGGCTCTTGCCCAACTTCCTTCGATTGAGAAATCAAAGGATCCAGTCAGAAAATTATCAATCCAATTGTCCAATCAGATGCAGGCACTGTTCAGGTATTTTGGCAGTCTCTATGCCCAGCCCCGCCGAATGTGATTGACAGTGGTTCTGGCAGGGATCCCAGGCTATTGTAAATAGGAGACTCTGCCCTCCGCCTGTAATCACATGCCTTCTACCCAGCCCTGCAGAATGTGACTGAGACAGTGGCTCCTAGCGGGGGTCCCAGGTAATTGTCAGCAGGAGACTCTGCCTCCACCCCTCAGTGCTCAGGAGAAAGTAGGGATATAGCGGTCATGTGAAAGCCAATAAAGCAAAGAAAAAATTTATTTAAAAACATTTATGATAATTCAATTATTATGACATGTTTAAAGAAGAAGTGCTAAATGTGAACATGCATTTATAGCTTGAAATGTTCACAAACACTTCACAAACACAATTCAAAAGAAATTAACATTGCCTGTGCTACAAGTATCATTAGCTCAATACGCTGTATCTCTTTGCAGCATTCAAGTTTATGTTTCCGGAAACACCCGGAATAAACAGAAATCACTAGTCCATCTTGTAATCGATTTGGAAAAGGGAGAGCAACAAGACAATTCTGTGTACAGAAAAACAAAAGCATCCGCTTCACTTGGAAGCCCATGTAAATGTGATTCAAAGAAAGCAATTAGATCAGATAAAGCTCTGCTGTATTCATATGATAATCATTCTGCCTCAGAACAATGTTTCACAGCTCCATCATCTGTAAGGGTCAGTGCTTACATTTTATCTTAGCTTGGATCTCATGTCTGGAGCTCGTGTGAATGATGCTGCTCTACAAGCCAAGGGCATGTGCAAATAAACATGGAATAAAATGCATTTAAGAAGACCCTTCCTCTGGAGTGAGCTGGAACGGAAAATGTCTTCTGTCTAGGGCAAGCTAAAGGCTGTTCTGAGATAACAATGTAAACATAATAAATATGTATCTCCTGTGAGACCTGTATCATCCGACTTAAATAGAATTATATGGTCTCATATCCAGGAAGACAAGGCAGTGTTGCCATAATCTGCTGTTATTCAGACTTCTGAACATCTTCGTCCAGTATTATTAAGCGGAATCGGTGTTGTTTTAATTATTGCCCTTTTTCAATTTTAGATAATGTCTTATATAAACATATTGTTAACCCTTGAGACTCATGCTCAGAGCCCTAGTTTAAATTAAGTAGATAATAATCTATATCCTGATCCCTGCTACACTATTTTTGGTCCTTTTGTAGGTTTCAAATGTCTAAGTTCAAAGCACCATTTATTTATGCATTTTGTTTTATGTACTGCCAGCATATTCTGCAGTATCTATTCACAGAGCATAGGATCATTCACTTTAATTGCTGCTAGTAAATGTGCTTGTTTTTTAATGTCCTTACCACAGTCATATTGATACAACATTCTAGGGCCAAATGCTGTAAAGCCACTTAAAGTAGTACTAAAGGCTATTCGTTTTTTACCTAAATGCATTCCCCTGCATTAATAAAAAAAGTCCTACTACCTTTCTTTGCCCCCCACCCCCAAACACTTGCCTATAGACAATGTCCACCGCCTCAAGCTCCCAGGTGATCTCTGATGTGTCCCCAAAGTTCTGGGTTGAGAGGAGGGAGGCCATTGAAGGCAGGACAGCGATAGACTGTTGCACCTACCTGTTAAGATACTGAGAGAAGGGAGGAGATGGGGAAAGGGGCGTGACTTGTTGATTGCTGTCTGTCTCAATGGACACGCAGCACAACTCAATGCCCGACCCTAGTGAGGACGCACGGGTGTCTCCTTTGCAACCTTCTAGGCAAAGTAGACACCCGTAAACAGGAGGGCAGGGGGCCACAATAAAAACCCTTTGAAAAAGGTGAACCTGTGGTCACACCATGCAGCACAAAGTAACAGGTTCACCTTAATAAAAGTCCCCCATAATTTTATTCTAACCTTCCCCTCATTGCCCTAGGAGTAAAGAGAAGAAGACCTGTGTAAGCTCACAACTTAGAGCTTACACAAAGCTTAAGATGGCCAAACATGGCTTAAATTTCAGAATCAGCCAAAATTTGAGCCATAGGTTACCATGTTGGCACCACCCAGCTCAACAAACTTCAAAAGCGGGCCGAAGAGATTCCTCCATCCATGCTGTTTAGGAACCTATTAGATTTCTCCCGTTCAGCTCCCAGGCCTGCAGGCTGGATGAGAGAAATCTAATACGATTCTAAACAGCGTGGATGGAGGAATCTCATCTGCCATCTATTTTATGTGTGTAGGACTAGCATGTAGGGTCCTTCCATGACCCTATATGACAGCACTGGTTGCCTGACTGCCCAATCATCAAGCACCAAGCTCTGTCACATAGGAGAAAGGAAAGTAGGTCATATGTTCCTCCAGCATGAGAAGAGGAAACGTGGGTATACTGTAAGCAGCTGCAGGGGTTGACATTAAAATTAAGCTATTGCTTTCCTTTACATGGGAGGATAGGAAAGAGTCTGCCAAAATACACTCTGATCCTCTCCTCTCAAGATCAAATGTCGTAATGTGATCAGCACTGCAAAGAAGCTGAAGCAGTGTTTTCACCAAGAAAAGGGAGTATTTCTGCCCGTCTATTACTTGTATCCACCCCGTAGCAATATGTTAACATTTCAGCATAGGTCTACTTTAAGAGCAGTCAGTGAAAGGTATATCAGTAAAAATGGTGATAGATGATTGCTGAGAATTACAGAACAATGCTCTTTGTCTTAGTGTTATTTATTATGTCTAGAATTCAATCACAGGCAAATTTGAAATAAAAATTAAATCTGACATTTTATGTTGCCCAGAGGGTTAAAGAAAATATAATTATGTTGTACTAATTAATGTTTTCTTTCCAATATATTCAGTCTATGCAAATGAACACCACCGCCAGCTGCCTAATCACCTGGGATATAAGTTTCAGATAGTCTAAAAAGGTCTGTTCACAGAGGTAAATAGTGATTCAGGGAATCCTAGAGAGCAACTGCTTGATCACTTCTCAAAAGGACTGGGGCCTGTTCCTACAGAGCTTTCCCAGGAGGTTGAACAATCTTTGTCTACAGTAACTGGCACTTCCGATAATACAGTTCTACATTCTACTTCATTCTAGCGCACAGAAAAGTGAAGCACTGGGCCCGTGTAAAAGGAGATATAACCACCAACAAGTAAAGGAGAAACTCATTATGCTAACCAAAATATAAAAAAAGTAATATGCATGTTTACAATCTTTTCACATTGCATTTTAATTTTATCAGTCTTGGTTAATCTAAATAAATGACCTCCAGATCCTGCCTTCCCCATTATTAGAACATGGTTTCCTGTGCCCGGCCAACAACTTTATTCAGCCGCTACTTAAATAGCTGATTCTCCGAGCATTGTTGGTACCCGTAAATATCAGCACTTTACTAATTCTCTGCCAATCAGATCTTTTTGTATTTTGCACATGCGCTGGTACTCTGAGCTCTGACAAGGCTCCTGTAATGCTTGTCCTGGCATTCACTCAGAGAAAGCACAGAGGGAAAAGGAAGCTGATGTTGGTGGTGTCACTCCCCGCAAACCACAGGGAAAGCTCCATCCGCTGCTCAATCATAGGTTAGCAGTCACGTGACCGCATGTAAACAGAAAAAAAAGGTATTACAAAGCTGATTAGTTTGAATAATGAATATGACTGTGATAAAGATAAGGTAGAGGAGCCATTTAGTGCATTCAGTACGTTTTGCCTTTACATCTACTTTAAGAAGCCAGAGACAGCTTGATTATCGCAAGTAAGGTGGCAATTCAGAAGCATTGCTATTATTATTGGACCTTTATGTAGCCTATTCACATGCAGGTTTTATGTTCCCTGTAACTTTAGGTGGCTTTCTTCCTCATGCCCCCAAAACATTTTGATAGTTTAACTGTCTACTGAACTGAATGGCTCTTGCGAGCATGTCAGTCTAACTGTGGTTAGACTGTAATTGGCTTTTGAGGTCAATGACTAATGTCAATTGCTCTATATTCTGCTCTATATTCTTTGAATTAACACCATACAGATATTTTTCAGTGTCCCTGAAAAGCATTTTTAATAGTTTAGTAGAAGTCTTTTCTAATCTCAGATTCTTACCAGGGTTGCAGTCTGTGAGCAGTGAACAGATGGAGAGGAGAACTTTAGAAATGGTTAATGCTGGGCTCCAGTTATCTTTCAGGATATCGAGACAGATGACTCCTTGACTGTTAATGTTGCAGTGGTAGATCCTTGTCCGAAATGTCACCTACAAAACACAGACAATCTGCCAATTAATTATTTCCAGTAACATTTACACATCGCTTACTGAGGAATACCTTTGCTCAACTGTGTGAATCAAATTGGTACAACAACTGCAGCACTTGTAAGTGTACCTGTCAATCTTTAGGCCTATATTATATTCTTACATGTATGAAATGTTGCCCCTCCGTGTTGGATGCAATGACAGTTTATAGACTATCCCTCAATGTTTGGAGTGACAATGTAGTTTTCTGCCCCAGCCATGACGGGAATGGAGGGGACCATGGTCTTAGCGGGAAAGGGACACTTCAAAGTACATGAATTTTTGGCAGAAAAAGGAACAATTACTAAATAATCACATAAAGATTTTTTAATCATGTCGGATTATTGTGGGAGTTACATCATTGGGGCCCAACCAATCAAGTAGCCGAACACTCGAAACTTGGAAGTAAACCTGGAGGAAGATTGAAGTGCTACCGTGGGAGAAGTGCACCACTGGATGGGATCGGTGTTGCAGGCAAGTCTGCTATAATATGTAAATATGCTGTTCAAACTAGTACATTATGGTTAAAAGCTTCAGCCCAACACCCCCCCTCCCCCTCCCCGCTTAAACATTTTAGTTCTGCAGGGTACATAATCTTGCTCCTAGCCTTGAAGGCATAAGTAACACCATCTTAAATATGCAGTTTTGGCCACCAGATTGCAAAAAAGGATGTAGCTGAGCTTGAAGAATTACAGAGCTGAGCAACTAAATTAAAAAGGGGCATGAAGGAGCTATGAGGAAATGTTAGCTAAACTAAATTTATTAACCCTTGAGAAATTAGGCAATCAAGTACAGATATGATCACCTTGTTCAAATACATAAATAGTCCATATAGCAAACTCAGAGGACACCTGGAAAAGAGAATCAATTTGCACATATGGAAATGGTTCTTTGTAGTAATAGCTGTGAAAATGTGGAATAATCTTTCACACAAACTGGTTCTAGCCAACTCAACAGATTGTCCGAATGCACAAAATATAGATGTGAATCAGATTCTGGTTTTGGGTTCTGAGGATGCAGCTTCAAGAAGGAGGAGAGTATTGCAGTCAGAGGATTTTTAATTTACACAAATCCCATAAAATGCTAATACTACACAATTTCCATAATCCTCTACTATACATAAATACCTGTAAAGAAGATTTAATCATTCATCCATCGATGTAAGATTTCAAAAAATTTACAAGAAAGGAAGAATAGAAGAAGGTGGAGAACTCTATTTTCCATAGCAATGTTTACTTCCTGCCAACTAATTCCTGAGAATAAAAGTACTAACTGCAATTTTATTGTTTTCAGCTGCCTATAATGGCATTTTACACAGAGTGACAGACAGTACAGCAAAGTTACATAAATGTGAAATATTCAATTCTCTGTAGTGTAAGAGTTTTTACAAGACTATTAAACACTGTCAAATAATTAGGCACTGCTTTTATTTTGTTTATGGTGAGGGCCTTGTTTCCACAGCAATGTTTAGAGATTAGTAGCTACTAGTACACTGGTTTACTCTTTGCAGGTTGAAGTATAATTACTACCACTGTGTCTACACTTCAGTGGCTAGCCACAGCATCCCACTGATTACTAATTTCAACTAAAAGTCTCCACATTTTGTGCAAAGCTTTGTCACAACACATAAAAAACGTATTTCAACCAACATAATACAAATAATGTTGCTTTAATCTCCGTTACAAGTCAAACAACTGGAAATAAAAACCTACGTCCTGTGTTTCCTGAGCGTATAAAATATGACTCAGCTACAGAAGCTTGCTTACTCAGAAGTGTGTAATACAAGTTAAGTGATGGTTTTCTCATACCTTAAACTACTGTTAATAGAAATTCAGTAAAGTATATAAAGCAAAGTTTTTTCTACGCTCAGATAAAACTGGGCCAGTAATAAATGAAACGTAAATTGCCTAAAGCTAGCACAAAATTGATAAAAAGAAAGCTGTCAAAAGGATTCAGAAGAAATATGAATTCCTTTAGGCCACAAAGACATCAGCTTACAAGTGGAAGTATATTTAAAAAAAAAACTTATTTTAAAACAAAGTAAGCAAATAAAGATACAAAATAAATCACCATCCCTACAGCACATCGTTGTGGCCGTATCTGCTAATTGTTGTGCACATTGTGTATGTATGTCCAAAACACAAGTGTATGTACAGCCAAAACTTTTTTTTTTTTGGAGTAGGGAAGAGTTTAAACTCAAATCACGTTATTGTTTGCTGCCTGTTTCCTGTTGAGTAGATTTTACTTCCTGCTCTGGAGACACAACAGTAAGTAGAAATCTCCCCAAAGTGAGGGGAATTCCCATCTTAGACAGTTGTCTCCAGAACAAGGAGCACAGGCAGGCCGCATGCAGCTCGTGGGCCATGTGCTGAGCACCAACTTTGTAGAAAGTCACAACAGCAGGATGCTAATCTTTGTAGGACATGTACACACAGACCAGAACATAAAGGCTACTGCACAGACATTGGGATTTCCATGACTGTCTATAGAAAGAAATAGCTAGAGATAGGATTGTATTTCACTCAGTGGATAATGACACCGGATGACACAAAACAAAATAAAAAATACATATATCACCAAGCCTTGATGCTATAACTGGTCACAGTCTTGGGCTATTAGTTTGATACCATGGCTAGGCAGTTTTTCTGCTAAATGTCAATACATATATATGCCACACTAAAACATTAAACAAATCATGATTTACAACAATATTCTAGTAAAGCATATACAAATTAAAACAATTTCAGTGAAGAAATGTATTACGGATCTGTATACCACTATTGATCGTGTATCTTTTTATATTTTGAGATTAGTGTGTGTGTGTATGCATTTGTATTGATATATACATATATATAGATATATATATATCCATATATATCTATATCTATATATATATACACACACACACACTATATTACCAAAAGTATTGGGACATCTGCCTTTACCCGCACATGAACTCTAATGGCATTCCAGTCTTAGTCCATAGGGTTCAATATTGAGTATGCCCACCCTTTGCCGCTATTACAGCTTTAACTCTTCTGGGAAGGCGTCCACAAGGCTAAGGAGTGTGTCTTTGGGAATGTTTGACCATTCTTCCAGAAGCGCATTTGTGAGGTCAGGTACTGATGTTGGACGAGAAGGCCTGGCTCGCAGTCTCCACATTAATTCATCCCAAAGGTGTTCTATTGGGTTGAGGTCCTCCACCCCAAACTTGCTCCTCCATGTCTTTATGGACCTTCCTTTGTGCACTGGTGCGCAGTCATGTTGGAACGGGAAGGGGTCATCCCCAAACTGTTCCCACAAAGTTGGGAGCATGAAATTGTCCAAAATGTCTTGGTAGGCTGATGCCTTAAGGAGTTCCCTTCACTGGAACTGAGGGGCCAAGCCCAACCCCTGAAAAACAACCCCACACAATAATCCCCCCTCCACCAAACTTTACACTTGGCACAATGCAGTCAGGCAAGTACCGTTCTCCTGGCAACTGCCAAACCCAGACACGTCCATCGGATTGCCAGACAGAGAAGCGTGATTCGTCACTCCAGAGAACACGTCTCCACTTCTCTAGAGTCCAATGGCGGTGTGCTTTACACCACTGCATCCGATGCTTTGCATTGCACTTGGTAATGTAAGGCTTGGATGCAGCTGCTCAACCATGGAAACCCATTTCATGACGCTCCCTACGCACTGTTGTTGTGCCAATATGAAAGTCACACGAAGTTTGGAGGTCTGTAGCTATTGAGCTGGCGACTTCTGTGCACTTCAGCATGCGCTGACCCCGCTCTGTCATTTTACGTGGCCTACCACTTCGTGGCTGAGTTGTTGTTGTTCCCAGTTGCTTCCACTTTATTATAATACCACTAACAGTTGACTGTGGAATATTTAGTAGTAAGGAAATTTCACAGAACACCGGAATCCAATGGTTTGGAGGGGTGTTCCAATACTTTGGGTAATATAGTATATATATATACATACATACATATATATATATACGTATATATATATATACAATTCATAATTGTTTTGATATTTGTAAGTGACACTATGTAATTCACTTATAGTTCTTGCCGCTTTAATTTACATTTGGCAGAAGATAATATTTTAGTATTGTTTTCTGCTAAATGTACTGTAAATTTTTTTGAACCTCCGTATTTGTTCTGGATTGTAGTGTGTGTGTGTGTGTGTGTGTGTGTGTGTGTGTGTGTATGATACTGTTCATATAAACGATTTGCTTTTATAGTTTGTAAGATTAGAAAATGATTTGTTTTTTTCCTATGGATGGACTTGTTTCTTTATGTGTTCCAGAAGTCTCTGTTCTAAGAAGCAAGGAGACTAGAATCAGCCCTGCTGAGATGGCACTCCTGGCATACCCTTTCTAGGGCACTTTCAACTGCTAGAAAACTGATGTTAGCCTCCCTATGGATTACAGAAAACAAAACAAAGATTCTGAATTGCCTGCGCTGGAAGAAAGCAGAATAGACGTGAATAATAGCAGGCAGGGAAGCTTCACGTCAGTTACTGTATGTGATATAACAATAATTACATTTACATTGTTAAGCTGCAAAAGGTTTTTCATTAAGACCTATCCCATTATTATGTCTAAAATGAAACCACCTTGGGTGTAAATCACCAGTGTAGATCTATAATAATGAATTTATACTGCACTGTCTAATGCAATCACATAGTTTACTTAAATGTATTTTAAATTCATGTTTGCAAAATATATATTTATGTTCTAAATGATTATTTAGATGCTACATCTTTTCACAATGATACAGTATATAGACACAAAGTTACATATTTTATGATTGTCCTTAGAGCTTTATTTCTTTTATATTTGAATAAACATCCGTCATTTTTCTAGTTTAATGAAAACTGTTAAAGCTGAACTTAGTAAAATATAGAAAAATCGAATTGATGCAGTTTAGTATTAATTTAAAAGACCATGAAACCCTCAAGGACCCTTTTGCTGCCAAGGCCTTTTTTTTTGCACACAATATAATCCATATTTTGGGCCTGAAAATTACTTAAAACCCCCAAACATTATATATTTTCTGAAAGGTAAGACCCTGTAGAATTAAATGGCGGCAGTTGCAAATTTTTATGTTAGGCAACTCTTTATCAAACACAAAATTCTAGTAAAAAATGCACTTAAGTTAAATTTAGTGCCCCAAAACACAATATAATACCCATTATGATATAAAAGATGAGGTTATGACGAGTAAATAGATACCCAACATGTCCAGGTAAAAATTGTTTGCGCCTATGAAACAGCGACAAAATTCAGTACCCCAAAAAGTCAATAGATGATGCTTTAAGAGCCCCTACAGCAGGTCATCAATTTAGAGATGCGTGTAAATATTGGTCCTAGAATTATTGCTCTCACTCTGGTGTGTGCAGGAATACCAAACATTTGTATTGTGATTGATTTTTTTTTTTACTTTAATTGCTATCATAGGGAGGCTTACAAGCCCCACCCCATGTGATAGCATAATGGTGGTGACAGGTACTCTTTACGGTGATACTGGGGGTCCAAAAGACCACTAGTGTCACCTTTCCACTTTTGCACATCGCACTTCAATAGCTTATTGCTGGGCTTCAGGAGCCCAGCAATGACAGTTCAGGCACCGGAGGTGATGCAATACGTATCTCTCCCGGTCCCATAGAAGTCGAGGAGATCAGTGAACAGACGTTCGCCGCTCTCCTCCCCAGCTTCCCGCCGACACTCGAGATGCCGGTCCCAGGCCAGCAGGAGGGACAGTAGAGCCCAGCAAAAACAGCGGGGGTGACGATTGGGGGGGCAGCCAGTTTACCTGCTCGTAGAAGCGATCTGATGGCGGAATCGCTTCTATTGTAAAGCTGCCAGTCAGCTCTACAAATGTAAACAGAGTCCCCGCGACTTTAGTCTGTTTAAATGGGCCCGCTACTATGTACGTCACTGGTCGCTAATGGGTTAAAGAGGAACTCCAGGAATCTAAAAAAATTACTCTGGCAGTGGGCTACCCCTGCACTGCAAGAGTAACTGTTCATTCTAGGGGCTCAAATAAAATACAATATACTCACTTGATTCTCGATTCCATTTGGCTGCTAGATAGGTCCCTGCCGCCTCTTCTCCCCCAGGCTCTGGCAGTCTAAGCCCCGCTGATGTCATCACGTCTAATGCAGATCCATTAACCTGCATTAGACATAAAGATGCCAAGGGACATTCCAAAGCTGGAATGGAGGGCAAGAGAACTGACCACCGCAGCACCGAGGATCAGGTGAGTATATGTTCTGTATTCTGTCCCCAACACCAAAATGACCAGTTATCCCTTGTAGTGCGGGGGTAGCCCCAATGCAATAAAATATATATAATATAAAAAAGCACATAAACAAAAGACTGGAAACACATTGTTTTCCTTTTGATGATCAGGGCTAGTTGTGTTTTGGATGTGTGTGTGCGCATGTGTGCGCGTGTGTGAATGTGGGGAAGTGTTTGGGATATTGATAGGTAATCAATCCTGACCATTATCATAAAAAAGAGGAACAAAGAGATGAAAGTGAACATGCTTAATAAACTGATAACAGCGCATTGTACAGTATTTGCATTTAAAAGATTCCAGAGTTTCAAAGCCCCAACTCTATGGAAACATTCGATGTAATATTTACAAAGCAGTATGGGAGCCATATTTGATTGGATATACGTGAACCAATTGTGTAGATATATTGTTGGCAGATTGTACAAAGATTTTACAATCAGACTGTTAAGGTGTGTGACCGGCGTACCTTCTTGATTACAAATGACAGAAGGAATGAGGACTAACTGAACTTCATTACATTTATCTGTATGAACAGGATTGATCATTCTGCTTCACAGGTTAGGTGAACACTAAATGATTCTTGTAGCCTACTACATAATAAAACCTATAGTAATCCGGAGGAAAATGAAGGCAATAGACTGTTATATTTCTTCCTTACTCCTGGGACTGGCAATTTGAACTGTGAAGCGGGATACATAGAGGGGAATGGGAGGGATTTACATGAAACTGATCTCAGTGGCTGATATGCCGAGAGAAGGAGGAGGAGAGCCCATTCACAGTTAACCAAATGCTTCATAATAGCAGAGTGCTTTATTACATCCAGAGCTGCAGCATGCAGATTTGCTGCAACACACAGGTTACATAGTTACATAGTATTTGAGGTTGAATAAAGACACATGTCCATCAAGTCCAACCTATTGTGTGTGTGTGTGTGTGTGTGTGTAAAGATCCCCGCGTCATCTCGTTTTTAGGAGTACTTGTACCCCTGTATATTACCTGTACCCCTGTATATTACCGTTTCTCAGGAAATCGTCAAAAAGGTACATTTTCTATTTCTATTGTAGCTGTGTATATGTAGAGAAGAAAAATGCTTGTTACGGCAAAACTAATTTTTTTAAATATTATTTCTTATATACAAAGTTAACTAAAAGTACTATGCAAAACCAGCAACTCTGCAACCCCAATATTCTAAGGGATTGTAGTTCCTCCAATGGAGCGTCGTTTATTTCCCATGGCTCATCTATTACTGTTCCCTTAGCTTGGATTTATATATTGTGATTATATTAAATATAATACATTTACTAAGCATGTACGACTATGTTCTCCTGCATTGCAACAGGTCATTTAAAGCCCATCTCTAGCTTAATTTTATTAAATAAATAAATACCCCTGTAGGTGCAAAATAAAGTAAACAGCTCCTCCTGAAATACATTCTCAAGCCCCAGTTAATGCTGTAACTGTAGACTCACAGCTTCATAATCCAGCTCTGGTCCTCTTTGGGTTGACACCCAGCCTCATTCAACCTCCTTCCTGTGAGCCCAGGGCAGAGCCGTAGCTAGCTCCTTTTGCGCCCGAGGCAAGAACAGAAAATTGTGCCCCACAACAGACAGATTTTTATTTATTTATTATTACTGTTGGGGGGCTTTGGGGAAATATCAGGGGTCTAAACAGACCCCTGACATTTCCCTTTTGAAATAGAAAAAGAGATTGAGGACGCAAAGTCATATACAGGCGGGGGAGACCAGCGGGCCCTGGCTACGCCCCCTCTCAGCTGCGCATGAGGCGAGTGCCTCACTCGCCCCATGGTAGCTACAGCCCTGGCCCAGGGTGTCAAGGACCCGCTCCCTGGGAGTCATCAAGCCGTCCTGGCTCAAAGAAGAATTCAGCAGGGACCATATGTTGCTGTACTCTGCAGCATTTAAGACCACCCACCACTAAAGTAAGACGAGCCGTGAGGTCACCCAACTGGACCAAAGACAGGATTTAAGGGATGTATACATTGATTTTTTTAAAAGGTGGTTTCAGTGAGAGGGTATCCTAGCAACTGGAGTTAGGCCTTAATATCTCAGTACCAGTTGTCTTATGTAACTTCACAGTATGTTGATTTTTCTCAGTACATCCAAATAATTGTAACATTAATAAAGTGAGCAGTTAACTAAACGTTTATTGAAAAAAGATTTCAATAAACGTGTAGTTTCAATATATAACTGCCATAATCATTGGATATATTTTGCTACAATCAATTAAGCTGATCATTAATGCAAATCAAAAATAGTTATGCACTTAGAAATGTATGATTTTAACCTTCTGGCGCAAAGTATACAAAATCATCTCTATCCTAATGGGCAAGTATATGCCACCTACTCCACAGGTAGCTCTTCTCAATGTCAGGTCGGTTGGTCTCACTACCTTACAATTTAAGCTAATGCTACATGTTCTGACAGCGGCCAAACGCATAAATAGCAAAAGCCTGGCTGACTAGCTCCCTATCTATAGCAGAAGTAATACCACATGCCTAAGTTTGAAAAAATGTGGGAACCTTGGGTCACCCATTTCCTCTCCCCGTCCTTTGACCGACTCCTGCTAAATCTGTGAGGCGGTCACTATTCAGACTATTAATTTTTTTGGGGGGTAGGGGGTTTCCCTTCTCTCTTCTACTCTTCTTACCTTTCCCCCTCTTTTCTACTTGACCTCCTGTTCTTATAAACTTCATCTGTCTACCTGGATGCCGTCATGGTAGTTTTTTGTTTTGCTTTTTTTCCTATGCTCCCTTATCACGAGGTCAACTGTTGCAGCTACTGAACCATCTCTGATACCTTCACATTACATTGCATACTGCTGCTCTGTATTATTATTGACACTCTTCTGTATATGCTACATACTTTTGTATCAATGTTAAAAACTTAATAAAACTCTTTGAAAAGAAAAAAAAGAAATGTATGATTCTCTGAACAAAATAACTTGATACCAAATGATACAGTGAATGTAAATATATACTTTTATGTGTAAAGGTTAATATTTTAAAAAGTATGACATCACTTATCCTACTATAAGTTATTGTCAACAAAACTAGACCTAGCAGACAAAATAAATGAATTACAATCTCTTACCTTAGGTGGTTTAAAAGGATAGTCTGGAGAGAAGACAATATCGAGGAAGAAAACACCCCCTTCATACACAGAACCAGGAGGACCCAGTATAGTGGATCTCCATTCATATATGTTATCTCCTTTGGGTCCAGCACTGTAATAGAAACATCACAAAATGATGAATTAGGTGTGATGTGCACATTTTTAAATAATCTTGGAAAATTACACTGCATTTTAACAGGACACAGTGAATATAGAATAAAGGTAAATAAAGACCACAACTACAATACATATCTGGATCTTTCTACACTATTATGTCACAGATCTGCTTGTACACCCTTCTATTTCCAGTAGCTAAGCCTGCCAATTGACTCCTACTTCCCCTGCTGCATGCAGTACTGCCCACTTTTGCCGAGAGGGGAGGTCATCATCTTTTACAACGTACCACTCCTATCTGAGCACTATTTATAAGCTCTGTATCTGCAGCAGATTGATAACATCATCTCAGCCTAGACAAAGTACTTTGTAGCTTATGACTTATTTTAAATGATTAAAGGTAAAGCTTTTTTGAGAATTTAAACTATTGCTGTATATTGTAATATTTCACAATTTTTACTTGTAAAGTTACTGAAAAGTGCACTCTAACTCCTTATTAAAAGTGAAACTTTTTTTTATTTTTGAACTCAGGGTATAATTTGTACAAACTACCTTTTTTTCCAAACTTTTGCGATCACACTCTGCTTTAGCCAACCAAGCTGTAACAATTTTTATCATCCCATTTACCTTTGCACTTTGTCCAAACCACTGGCAAGTCTAATAAAATTTAAGCTGGATTAATTTGACAGCAACATACCTAGGCATTTTTTTCCAATCTGATATGCAATCCCTATCTTGTGTTTACCATGGACAGCTGCCTTTGCTGACCGCTACCTGAGGCTGTCACTTTATCTTGGCGATACACAGTTCACTTCTAACAAAATCAGCATAAACTGAAGACATTATGTACAGCAGAGTCTCACATACATCTCTGACCAAATATGCAAGGGCTGTCATGTTCTTGATCTCCATTATAATGCGCATTGTTTTGTTTTTAAATGCAATTAACTTTAAAGACTGAACACAGCATTTTTTATTTAAATAACCTTACAAAATGTCTGTAAAGATTGTCATTCATCCAGGTCATGGTATATCTGTAAAAAAATAAGTCAAGGCAACTGGACTTGCTGTATTTTTTTATAGTCAACATACCATGTCCTCAATTATGTACAAACACTCAGCGATCACTGATCGCTGAGTGTTTGCACTCGCTCTCCTCTCTGCCACGCTGTCACAGGAGGCTGAGCGAGCGGAGCAGTGAGGAGAGCTCAGCCTCCTGTGACAGCATGGGCTGTCTCCGCCCCCACACCGCTCTGCCGGACTGTGATGCGGTGTGGGAGGAGAGACACGAGAGAAATCACGAATGCGCCGATGTATCGGCAGGAAAATGGCACTTTCGGCATTTAGCCAAAAGTGCAATTTTCGGCCGATATGTTTCGGCGGCCGATATATCGGTGCATCCCTACTATTTTATGTTAGGGATATAGTAATATAATGATGATGGGCATCATAACACTGCAGCACATACCCCTACTCACTTACCTTAGGAAAAAGGTCTTCTGCCAGTTCAGATTTTCTCACTGGATAGCTATGGTTTTAGCCCAAGATACCATACTCAATACGTAGATGGTAAAAATTGTGCAGAGATATATGACCTTCATGTAGAGTTCATTTAAAATCTTCATATCAGTTTTCAAAACTCAAGTATTTTACCATGATAATCCACAATAAAAGATGGAAGTGTGTTTTATATACATGGAAAGCCGTTTCTAATATAATAAAATATTACTTAACCGTACATATGTTCTGACATTTAAACAGAAAATTGGCCAAATAAAAATCCGCTGCAGAAACATCTCCTGCTAAAAAAGATGTTTATCCACCGATTTGTCAGGAACAGCTTATAGAGCGACTAATTATTAACTTTTCTACTTGTAACGGCTTTGCTATGATCAGTTAATTAAAGCGGAACTCTAGGCATATAAAAAAGAAACAAATGAATGAAGCAGTGTAAGCACCTGATTTTGACCTGGTATCAGCATTTGCTGTCTCTATAGAACAGAGCTGGAGTGTGAGAAGAAGTAGAAGCACAAGGAGCCAATCAGGTTATAGAACAATGTTCATTCAAAAACTAACTGGTAGTCTATCCAGTCCAGAATATATAATAGACCACATAAATAAGAAACAATGTTTTATTAACATTGGCAATGAATCCAACTCACATTCCTAAACCCTATTAAAAAAAAAAAAACTTCTCTGAATGTCATCTGAGGTGATTATCTACAAGCACGATTGCACATACATATTCCCCTATAAAGGTTTCCTGGAGGAGATTGGGATGACATAAGCTCTACTTGTTTCATGGATCAAGGTCCATTTCTTCAGGAGATGAGAGGTATCAAACCTGCTTGAATAAAACTGTATATAGTCCACTGAAGTTAGCCATCCAGGAGAGTAGCAGGCAAGGGAGCCACTGGCGACCAAAGCGAGGAGCAATCTTCCCAAGCCTTAAACTTTCAAACCATAGGCATCAATAAAATGGGAAGAGTCACAAATCACATCCAAGTTGCAGTATTTGCAGTGCAATGAAACATTCTGATAGAAAAAGAAAGCAGAGTGAGATAGCTGAGCTCATCACTGTGCTGCTTCTACCATTGCTGGCCATTCACAGGGTATGAACGGGGAGGAGACCTGTAAGTGTTAATGAACTGCAGCAGAGAAAAATCAGGTCTACTCCCTGCGAGAAGGGGCTGTTTGGGGTGGCAGAGAACTGAATGGACAGAAATCTAAATACTATAAATCCTGTATCTGTGATACTCTGCTTAAATGTTTTCACAGAAAAACAAACAGAAAAACTACGTCTGCCATGGTCAAGAGCTGGTGATACAGCTTATAAATCAAGCAAAGGTATATCCCCCCAGAAAAATCTAAGCCTGCAGCCCAAGTGCAAGCAACTAAAGAGTAAAAGTGTAGGATCTAAAGAGATTTTTATTTTAGATATCAATTGCAACAGGGATACGTTGTTTCTAAAACAGTAGAATGACCGGCCAATCCCAGATGTAATCTGTCAAGTTTGTATTGATTGCATACATTTGGGAAACCTTTGGGGTGGATTTTGAGCTCCAAAAGGTACTGAAGGAAACACATTCTCATGAAATCTTCTGCTGAATGTGCTTCTATAATTCTTTGAAGCACTTGCTCATATTATTAAATAGCCTGGAAGAACGTTGAAGTAAACCTGTGTCCAGACTATACAAACCAAAATAATTGAATATTCTGAACAAGCAGTAAAAGTTCTTTAACACAGGCTCTTATTCATCTCTGTATCTATAAATTCTCATTCACACTGGGAGTTTTGCAAAGCTTTTACAAATTGAAAAAAACGCCCAAAAAAACCCCATTTACTTCACATTTTTTGCTTGTAGAAAAATGCCCGTCACTTGAAGAAAGTACATGAGCTTCTTTGTGGCAGAATCTGTACTTCTTGGTCCCATAGACTTCAATGGAAATGCTCAAAAACACACGTTTGCTGCACCGTACCACATTTATTATGCACGTTTGCCCATTCACATCATAGTGTCACGATATGCTTGCAAAAACACGTGACTATATGTACGCACAAACAAATGTGCAAGAATGTGCTACACAAAACGCAAAGATGCTATCGCTCAGGTAAGGGCTAAGCATTGTGAAGAAATGTATTCTCAAAGTTCACAACAGAGGCACTGCAGTCTTTGTTATCCCCTATTACTTTCTATTATACCACAATCTTGGCAGCCTGCTAGCCCTCCAATGTAGAGCATGTATTTCTAAGCTGTTAGAAACCTGCTGAAATCAAACATGATACCATCGCTTTTCTCTTACATAACTCTTCTCTTTGCTAATATGGATGCACAACTGCAAACAGTAGCAGGTCAAAAGCAGGGAAAGATAGATTCTTATAGAAAGAAGAACATTTAGGGCAGAAACATACTCTTCCCATGCAGTGCTTTGCATCATTTAATTTGAATGGCACCAGGGTGGCTCATGATAGAGCTGGTCCAGACATGTCAATCTACAAAGAAGACCTGTTTAAACCTACAGCATGCTGCTGGGATGTAGACCAGCTCTATCATGAGTCACACCGGCGGCAGGCTTCTTAGTCCGCTATTCTGCACCCTGGCCACACAATGCTGATGATCTGGGGCTCATTTTAATCTAAGACACTGTTCCCCAGTGCTAGGTAACAGGCTAGATCAAACGTAGTGCAGAAACTCATTAAAATTCCCCGACAAGGGAAGTCTTGGCTACTTTGCTCAGTCTGCTGCTTTCACTATAAAGGGCAGATTAAAAAAAAAGATTATAGTGGCAATGGCAACTAGGGCTGCAACTAATGATTATTTTCATACTCAATTAGTTGGCCGATTATTTTTTCGATTAATCGGATCAAAATAAATACCATCCTTAATCTAAGATTAAATACACAAATGCAGTGTTACAAAGTTTACTTTAGTGTACTGCATGCACAATTTTTTGCAATCGCACTGTGCTGGAACGCATGGAATTGAGGTACTGTGTGTTCCAGTGTGAGCAATCACACTGTGGGCGGGAGTTGCATTTGGGGTGCCATTGAAATGAATGGTACTGCAACGTAGCAGAATTTGTCAGGCCGGAAACAAAAATGACTCTTTTCCACCTTTTATATATTTTTTGAAATAATTGTGTTGTAAGCACATGGCGCTTGAAAAGCTTCAGCCAGGGAATGACAGCTGACGGTGGCAAGATTCCGCAGACGGCAGCTAAATATAAATACAGCAGGTAGTGGGCTGGTGCAATAGCAGACAGGCTATTGCACCGCCCACTGCTTGTTGTGCTCTCCTCCCAGCATGGAGGAGAGAGCTAGGGGATCCAACCAACTAATTGACAAGGAGAATAGTTGACAACTATTCTCATAATCGATTATTTGGTTGCAGCCCTAGTGTCAACCTTTTAAAGACCTTCAAGACAGGACTATACAATTCCTAATCCAATACTATCTGCCAACATTGCCATTAAAAAAACAGATTTATAAAAAGAAGG